TGTGCTTTTGTACACGAATGGGACTATATGGCTTATATGATAAAATCTTAAAACTCACATGGTGATAACTAATGATACAAAGGTGGCAGCCTGTAGAGAATTCCAAACCTCAGAGTGATGGAATAATGGGAACTTACAGAGTTGATGTTGACATTCCTGCTGAGGATTGGGCAAATATCACCAAGTTCTACGACGTACTCATTTTCAACACTGGACACTGGTAAGTATTTACTTGAAATTTTGTTGCTGTGTGCACGCTAACATAGGGTGAAACTTTAATTTCGTTCAAGAGGTACTGAGTTTCTTCATGAGTTTCGTAAGATAATAATACTTAGTAAGTGTTAACACTGCATATTCTCTATGTTGGAACTACTTGGAAACTGGGCTGTTTGTGTCTAGAAAAAGCCTTTTTCCTTTCAGTGTTGAAATGTTATTTGTTTTAAATTTCTGGGTATACTTACCATTGTGAAATAAAAATCCTGTGTTAGCTAGCATGGCAATGTGTATTGCTCTTATACATTCCTTCTATTTTGTGGCAACTATATTTGTAGTTTGGTTACGAGTCATGACTGCGTTTCTCATTATCAGGTGGGGTCCGGATAAATTCCCAAAAGAAACTCCCCTTGTTTTCTACCGAGGAGGAAAACCAATCGAGCCTCCACTCGGCATCTTTGATGGACTGAAGGTAGTCCTCAAAAGTATGAGCTCGTACATCGAAAGGGAGGTCCCAAGTACAACAATGAAGCTGTGGCGCACACAATCACCCAGGCACTTTGATGGAGGCGAATGGGATCACAACGGCAGTTGCTTGTCTAAGAGGCTCCTCGAAGAACACGAGGTACCATTCTAGGTCCAAGCTTTTCATGATCTGACATTTTCCTCAAAAAAAAAATAGTCATGACCCCCCTAAAATCCTGTGCAGCTGGATTCCTGGTTCGATCCCAGGTTTGGGGGAGTGAACAAGGAAGCGAGACTAGTAAACTCAGTGATCCAGGAAGCGCTAGTCGGCACGGATATCCAGCTGCTCAACCTGACGTACATGAGCGAGTTCCGCGCCGACGCCCATCCAGCTATCTGGCTCGGGAAGAAGGACGCGGTGGCCGTCTGGGGGCAGGACTGCATGCATTGGTGCCTGCCAGGCGTACCGGACACGTGGGTCGACATCTTGGCTGCGCGGATCTTGCACTACTTCAAGCAGGGTGAAGGTTGACGCCGTGTGCGCTGAAGTTCAGGCCTGTAAATTGTCTGCTGGAAGGAAGATGATATGCTGAACAATGCTGGTGTAATTGGTCTGTCATACTGATTTTGGGATTGCACTTTGGAACAAATTGCAGCCCTCAAAATTTCAGACGTAAAACTGGACTGCGACTAGGCATCTCTCTGTAACTGTAAATGCAGCATATTTTTGAACGTACAGCTCGGCTCACGGCCACTGAATGTTGAGTGTTGCATGATTATGTTCTTCAGTTTTTCTCGTCTTCCTCTGACACTGCAGTCATGCTTTCTAATAGGCGGTTTAGTCTGGAGGACCTGAAAAACTTACGCAAATTGCAAAAGAAACAAGAAGATTTGGCACCATGTTTAATTGGAATGCGTGCATGCAACCAAAAAAATAATCCAAAATTCGTTGCAGCGCTGTGTTAAGTCTCTTAGGATTAGAATTTCATTCCTAGTGGTGGCAATGGGAGTCGGCACATCCTGAACACGGGTACATATGAACGCGCTTTCCAAAAATGTGTACCCGCTTTTAAAAAATGTACTTTAAACGTGTTTTCTAATGTCAAGAAAAAATCAAAACACAATTTTGTGCATCATGCATGTTCGCAATAATATGTCCGCGGCACAAAGTTTTGTGAGAAAAAGTATTTTTTTTATTTTGTCTCTGAAAAAAGACAAATTAAGTGCTTCTAAATAGCGTTTTGAGGCATAATTTTTTGTCTTTTTGCACAGGCCACAAAAAAAGTTGTTTTTCCATTAAACTTTATGCACGCACATAGAACATGGAGATGTCTGCGTGCACCTTTTTCCAGAATTTTTTGGCATTTCAAAATGTGTTTTTCAAAGTGGGTTTATATGTATCCAGGTTCATCCATTCACTTCCCATGGCAATGGTGGCTAAGAATGATGCTTTCCTGAGTCTTGGTCCAACTCGTGGCGGCATAGAGGGTGGGGGTTGTCTGGTCGCTACTTTTTATGGAGTGGGGGATCTGGTTGCATCTTTGTGTTATACTCTCTCCGTTCCTAAATATAAGTCTTTTTAGAGCTTGAAATATGGACAACATTTGGATTAAAATGAGTGAGTTTACACTCTAAAATACGTCTATTTACATCTATATATATTTTATATCGAAATCTCTAAAAGGGCTTGTATATAGGAACGGAGGGAGTACTCCTTTCGTCCGGTATTACTTGTCGTGAAAATAGATGTATCTACACATATTTTAATTCTAAATACATCCATTTTTTTTATCTATTTCCATGACAAGTCATTTAGGATGGAGGGAGTATTAGATAAAGGTGGTCATCGAAGGTGTCTTATGGCGGAGCAGGCAATGCCTTTTCTAGTTTTGATTCTCTGGCTCCTTCTCTGACCGGCGATGTCTAGCCAGTTTCGATGCTTATGAGGTTATATGTCTTGCTCGATCTATCTGGCTGGATTTGGGACAGTCGTCGAGCCCTCTGCACTGCCTTCTTCTTCGAGATGGCGATCAATTTCTCAGATTCAGAAGTCCAGAAAATGAGTGTTGAGCTTTGCTCATGGCATGCCGCCGACATGGAGAGCCGACGCAATGTCAAGGATAGAAGCTTAAAAAAATAAGGCCGGACATTCTGACCAATAGCCAACCAATATCTGACTCTTAACAGAAGGTTGAAGCCCTCAATAGGACACCATGTGCAACTGCTGATATTCATAATTCAGCTTCGCATCTTCACAACGATCATAGCTGAACCTCTACTACTTAAAAAGAATGTAAGGTTCCATTTCACCTTTTTACCCACCAATCCTTCGTCCACCTTTTCATGTATATGATAATCAATCACCTTAATTATTTACCTCTGAACCAATTCCACTTTAATTTACTTACCAAACTTTTAATCAAAATATAAGGTAATTCATGGACAAAATTTAATGAACATTTATTTACATAATTGCATTATTCTTGACAAATAAATCACAAGCTTACGTACTATAATATTTATATCCTGTTGCAAAGCATGACATTGTTCTAGTAAGTGAAAATTCCACAAGAGGATTGACACGCTTTTACTCTATACAAAATCGGTATAGTTGGTTACCGGCGTGGACGAGGCTACGAGGTTACGCACTTTTGCTCTATACAAAATTGGTATAGTTGGACTCGTGTGAAAGCACACTTTTCATGTTTTTCGATTGTAAAAGGACAGACCCAGTGCATAGAAGCTCCCACACAAGGTGGGGTTTGGGGAGGGATTATAGGAACCTAGTCTTACCCCTGCAAAGTGCAATGCAGAGAGGCTGGTTCGAACCCAGAACCTCTTGGCACAAGTGGGGAGGACTTCACCACTGCGTCATGTTTTTCGATTGTAACATTAACTTTTTATGCTGAATCATCCATGTATATACGATTATGACTGCGCATCAGTTAATGCAGAGGCTAGGGTCTGTCCTCATTTTTTCGAAAAATATAAAACATATTTGTGGTTGGATCTGTTATGTTTGGAATTGTTGGGGGTAGGGACCTTGATTTGGATGAATTACGTTTAGAATCGGATGGCGGATATCGAATCAAATCCACCGCAATGATGCGAAAGAAAAACAAAGCAGGGGTCTGACTCCAACTCCTCCCTCATATGCTACACCAATGAATAGCATGATGAGTTCGGTTAATCAATTTGAAATACCCCATGTTAGGACCTTTAATAGCATGCAAGAAGTATTTAACCATTTAATCATCGACAACTAATTCACAATACACTAGTCTAAACATGTCGATGGATAGGGTAATTGCCCATGTTACTACTTGTTATTCAGCCAATTACCATGAAATTTCATATGCTACACCTTATATTACAAAAATTCAGCGCCATGTGCAATTACTGATGTTCATAATTCAGCATCGCACCTTCACAACAATCATAGCTGAATATTCCACGAGAGGCTATGAGGTTGGTGAACTTTTACTCTATATAAAATCGGTATAGTTAAGAGAAACACTTACTATCAACCCGCAGATCGCAGCGGCCACGTTCACCACCTTGCCTGGATGACACGCATCAAGTGAAGGCCTACATACCATCCTTCATGCAACAGGGGCCATGCTTCTGAAACATATGTGGTGTCGCAATGGTCTATGCGGTTTTTTGCTTTACAACAAAACCTCTCACGAAATTTTTCTGCAACGAGACCTCATTTAAAAAAAAATACAACAAAACCTCTCACATTTTTTTTGTGCAACGAGACCTCATTTGAAAAAAAAAATACAACAAAATCTCAGTTGCAAAAATCTTTTCGCAACAAAATACTTGTTGCCAAAAAAATATATGCAAAAGACGTGTGTTGCATAAATAGTTTTGCAACAAGATCCGTGTTGCAATGATGGAGACGCGCTCGGCCGGTCGATACGGCAGATCTGACGGTTCACGACTCGGTTGATCTTTTAAAAAGATCAGCCGGCGGATACGTAACACACGCCCCTATATATAGTTAATCAATTTTTTTGAGAAGAAACTTGATTTTGGATGAAGAATCGGACGGTGGATATCGAATCAAATCCACCGCGATGACGTGAAGAAAAAACAAAGCGGGGCCCAACTCCAACTCCTCTTTCTCTCTAGTCTCCAGAACAGCTCAGGGGAAAAAAAAAAGGAATCCTCTCTGCGAGCAGAAGCAAAGCATCCGAACTTCCGACGCGAGGCAGATTTGGTTCGCGGGGCGGCGTCGGAGGAGGCATCGCCGGCGGCGAGCTCGGCCGGGTCTACCGCGCGCGGGACCGATACGTCGTCCTCCGCCGGCGCGAGCAATGGCGGCGGCGCTGCGGGGCCAGGAGGCGGCGGCGTGGTCGGAGGAGGCGGCGCGGCTGGTCTGGGGCGGCGCCGTGCCGCTCCAGGTCCACCTCCACGACGCCGACGTCACCGCGCTCCCACCGCCCCCGCCCTTCCTGGTAAGACGCCACCCCCCACCGCCGTCCGAAATCCCAAATCTCGGCACTGCGTTCTTGGATTCCAGGATCACGGTTGCTGATAGGTTATAGTCCAGATTGCTTGCTCTCCTCGGAATTTTAGACCCTTAGCTGAAGATTTTGAGGTCTTTTGTCCTGCCCGTGTGCTCCAAAAGCCTGTATTTCAAGGCAAACCCTCACCAAAGTTTGGTACTTCTTTCTTGCATATGAACATGGAGTTGATTCTGCTTACAGAGTCTTTTCTAGTATGCTCCACATCCTGTTTAGGTAATTAGCTGAGTTTGCTGCAGGCATGCTCTTCATATGTTTGATGTGCTGGAAAAAAGAGATAAAACATTTACAAATCTCACTTGCTACTGTATGAAATTCCTGTGTTCCTCTTTCACATTGCTATCTATTTTAGGGGCATGTTCAATGGTTGATAAGGCGCTCTTATCTTAATCCTGCCATGTAATCTAGAGATGGCAAAAAAAAATGGTGTACAATGGGTTGTCTCATAATCTCATCTCTATTAACTAGATATTCCTAAAAATGTGGTGAGAGATTTGTTGCTAAGAGATCATATCTTATATCTGTTTTAGCTCGCAGTCCAAGCTGATAGCCATGTGAGATCATTACTGCCAAAGCGCTTATCTTCCTTTCCTGCCAAGGCGCTTATCTTCCTTTCCTGCCAAAGCGCTTATCTTCCTTTCCACAGGAGTATCTGTTTCGTTTATTAACCTTTATTTTGTCTGCAACAGACTTTAGGGCCAAGAATTGGGTATTTTCCATTGTTGGTGTCGACTATAAAGGCTCATTTCAGCAGCTCACTCCCACCGGGTGTTGATACTGTTTGGTTTGAGTATAAAGGGCTGCCACTGAAATGGTAACATATGTTATCTCCTACTAATATTAATATTGATGGTCTATCACCTTATTTAATCTTGAGAACCCATGTTATTGCTGCCGCTTTTATTTGCTGACAGCCCTTTTTATGTTCACATTGTTAGGTATATACCCATTGGTGTTCTTTTCGACCTTCTCTGTGCAGATCCAGAAAGGCCATGGAATCTAACGGTTAGACTATGAGTCCTCTAGCACTTTTCTTTAGACACGTTTTCTTTTATGATTTGTTTAATTTGCAAGGCGAATTTTTGGTGTTGAAGGTTCATTTATGCCTTAATGGGACGCTGGATTAGTAGAAACCTTTTGATTAACCATGTGCATTTTCTCTTAACATTTAAGTTTGCTGGAAATACTGTTAGATGTTGATGCCATAATGTTCTCAGGATCTAGTTAGTTACTTAACTCAGCAATTAAGTTCAATAAATTACCAATTAGAGTGCAAAAATATTCATGTGCATGCCACACATTATGTAATCCTTTCTTAATTGCAATCAGCCATCCATCAGTATACGAATAGTAGAAACCAAGTTTATAACCATCTACTCTTACAGGTACATCTTTTATTGTATATTTTGAAAGTTATTCTTTCTGAAAACATGAGTCATTTGCATGAATCTGCTATTCTGTTTCTATATGTGGTTTTCCCAGTTACTTGCTCCAGTTGTTCGCCGTATGCACACAACTTATGCATAAAATTTGTAGGTTCATTTTAGGGGGTATCCTGCAGATATATTATCGCCATGTGAAGGTGAAGATAGTGTAAAGTGGAACTACAACAATTCCCTGAAAGAGGTTCATTTTGAGAACTAGTGTTATCCGGCAACTCTTTCTTCCAGTCTCAAACAATAGTGTAATAATTTCTCTTTTTCAGGCTGCCTTCATCATAACTGGAAACAGCAAGAATGTGATGAATATGTCCCAGGCTGATCAACTTGCTATGTGGGAATCAGTGAGGAAAGGTATGCTCCCCAGAAACAACCTTTCTGTATGAAGTATACCTAGTTTCTACCATTTATGGACGATGCAGTCTCTCAATGCTTGTAACTTTCGTGCTTTGACTACAGCGTGTTACTTTGTTATTACTTATTATAGGTGACTTGGATAGTTATATGAATATCTCTACCAAGCTTAAGCTTGGACCGTTTGAAGAGGATTTCTTAGTACGGACTTCCTCGTTAGAGCCTCGACAAGGTTCTGATGAGCCTGAATCTCCTGGATCTGTCAAACCATGTATGCTCTTCTGTCATTGAACTCTCTACTTTTGTATTAATTGAACGTTTCAAACCAAATTTATTTTATTTTATTTTTGTTCGCACATTTTTTATATTAGTTAATTGATGCATGCTTTTGACATTCGTAAAACATCACATACACTTTCAAGTTATACAATAATGGACCTATACATTATTGGAGTTGTATGACATTAAGATACGTCTATGATAAAAATGGATTTGTGTCACATTAAGAAATCACCATCTGCTCTGATAGATCTATTCCATTAATACCTTGTTAGGCAGGGTACCTGTTCGATTATACGTGCGCAGAGTTCAACAAGACCTTGAGGATTTAGAAGATGCGAAGCCCGTCAGTGACTGGGAAAGTGTATCCTATATAAATCGGCCATTCGAGATCCGGAAGGAGGGAGGTACGTAGCTCTGCTGCCAATATTTATGTTATCATTTGAATGCCAGTATGGATTGAGGAAGGATTTTGCTTGTTGTAATCACCAACCATGTAATAGTGCTTTTCAGAAAAATGTTAAATATTTTGTATTACCGTTGTCTGGAGATTATCCCCAAACTGAGAAGCATGCACATGTACATTTCTTCCATTGGAAAATTGGTGCAACTTCTGTTTATCCATTTATTTTGAGAGGATATTTATCTACCTATGCTACTACTGTATTTTACTTTCTGCTCTGCGACATCTTTCGAGAAAGCCAGGGTAAAGGGTTTAAGATTTCCTCTTTAACGAGAAACAAGTGTGACTGTAATCAGAGTTGACCCCTGAAACTGTGCAACTACATGTTTACAACTGCCTTCCACTCACACCCTTTGTTTCACGGTGGTTATGGTGTTGCGATAACAGTATTTCTTCTTGACATATAGTTCACTTTGCTCTGTTCTGCAGGTAGAAGCTACATTGCCTTGGAACATGCCTTGGAGACGTTGCTACCAGAGTTCTTCAGCTCGAAGCTTACGGCTAGAGCTGCTGATCCTGAACCTGGGGCGACGACACCAGACTCAGAACCCGACGATTCAGGTACCAGTCCAGGCACTCCTCATGACGAGAAACCAGCTTCGGCGAGTCCGCAAGAGACAGATGTGGCCAAGAAGACCAAACTGAAGCTGGTGAGGGTGCAAGGCATCGAGCTCGACATGGACATACCATTCCTTTGGGTGGCCAACAACCTGAAGAACCCCGAATGCTACCTCCATGTTTGTGTATATGTTGGGGCATGAATACAATGTAACAGTGACACAAGAACAGTGTCGAAAGGTTAGATACCATAGGAGGAGTGAGACCAGGAATGGCCTGCTGGTCTTGTTCTTTGGTTGTACATATACAGATGGTAACATCCTTATCGTTTAGGTGTGTCGATGTAAGATCTGCAGTGTTGCGGGGTTTGAATACCATGATGAATGGAATGATTCCTGTTTCACAATTATTGATATACTGTTCTGGTATGGATATGGAATTGTTGGGAAGGAAGAGCATTCGATGCATGGTGATGCTGTGTAATTCATATGCCATCTCTGTCAAATTTGAGTTAAGTCGTTTAAATGCTCACAACTTAAGTTCATTTTGAACACAACAGCGGGTTTTTTTTTTGAGCAGTGCCTGCTATCATGGTCATTCGTTCGATGAGGGTACGTGATGAAAAGAAATTTTCGTTTGGGCTGGGGGGGTGGGGTTCACGTAGCTCCGCTGTTGGAAACATCTATGAATGAAGCATATCTGACTAGCACATGAATGAGTAAGGGGCTGAACAAATCATACCCTCTGTTAGGGCAGGCGGTGGCTTAGCAAGAAAAATAGGATTATGGGGGCCGGGTTGTCAAAACATGCTGGGGAGGGTCTCCGCCACTGAGGCCGGATGTTGCCCGCGCCTTCTTCTTGGCGGCCTCATCCTCGGCCGTGATGTCGGAGTCGGGGAAGTGGTGATGAAGACGAACCATGAGCAGTCACGCCGAGATGTACTCCTCAGAAACCTTATCACCTTTCCCATGCAAGATCACAAAAGAACGAGGTTCCAGAGGCCTGTTCTCCCGACCGGATATGCACACGGCCGTCGGGATGGGATTGCCGAAAGTAACATGAAGAGACTAACAGTAGGACCAGCTAGGGTTGCATGAGGAGAGACTGAGTTGGGGCCAGCCAACGCCTCAACATATAGGCATCCGTGTAGGTAGTCATGGGCCTAAATCCAACGACCAAGTCGGCATGCAGCGGGGTAGGCCCATGATCGAGTCGGCATGCAAACAGGTAGGCACACGCCCGAGTCGACATGTAGCTAGATGCAACGTCTCGGATAGTCTGCTGACACGATCCCATTAAGTTTACTTCATCGTATTTGAGTAAACAACGTCTACAATACAAGTTCATCAACTTTCCAAACTTGTTTTTGGGCATCCTAACTTTCGCTTTGGAGAACACATTCGGTTCAAACCGACAGCTCGGGCTCGTCGTATGCTACCGATGTGGACGAGGCTACGAGGTTGGCGCATCTTTACTCTGCAAAATTGGTATATTTGGACTTGCGTGAAAGCACATTTTCTCGATGGTACCATTAATTTTGTATATGTAGTGTTATCCATATACTCCCTTCGTATCAAAATATAAGACGCTTTTGCAGTTTAAATTTGAACAGCAAGAAGCCTCATATTTTGATACAGAGGTAGTATATGTGATTATGACTATGTGCATCAATCGATGTAGAGGCCGGAAGTTTATCCTTTAAAAAAAAATCGGGGTTGCTATTTCACATCTAGATGTGAAATAGTTATCTCACATCTAAGTTTACAGTCACAGGATTAAACTTGCAATAAGATTTGTGCAATTGGGAAATAATCTGTATCGTACTGTTCCAGTCCTCATCGATGTGTGTTCTGTGTCTTGTTGGGCCTTTTTTGTTCGCTTTGCTAGCTCGTCCCCTGTGTCTGCCTGGGCCTTGTTGTTGTGGTCCTTTGTTTTTTTCGCTGTTGGCTGCGTTTTTCTATTTCATTTCACAAGTCTGTGCTACGACTCCGTCCTAGTTCTTCTCATTTTTGTACACTCCCATTTTGGCTCCTAGAATTTGTTTTTTTGTTCATTTCTGTTTTATTTTGTTTTTTGTTTTCTTTTTTACTTCATTATTTGTTTTATATTTTCTAGTTTCTCATTTTCTATTTCTTTCTCCATTTATTCTTTACTTATTAGTTTAAAATTCATGAACTAGTTTTCACTTTGTCATATGTTAATTTTCAATGTCATACAAATTTTGATCACCGGTTATTTTGTCACGCGCACTTTGTGTTGCGTCATGTGTTTGGTGTCTACTTGTCGACTTATTCGTGCGTATGTCTTTGTTGTGCCATTTTCGCGGCGTGGTCTAGGTCCTGCTTTGGATTGGTTTGCTAATTCTCATCCAAATGAGAGTTAACAATGTTTTAGCTAACTCATAATACTGTTAGATGCACGTGCTTCTGAGTCGTGCTCGTCGTTATTGTGTCCTGTTTTTTGTTTGTCCCTCGTAAAGCAGTGAGACCCGATATGACATTTTTAGTGGTCCGTTATTATGTTTTGTGTATTGTTTTTTTGCGGCTTAGGCTTTTTGTGGAGGGCCACATATCTTTTTATTCTCTGTTTGGTTTGACGTGTAGCAAGATAAGATTGTAACTAGATTTTTCTCTTTAGATTGGCTAAATCTAATCTAGATGAGTTTTAGCTCATCTAAATCTATAAAATGTCTGATTTGTTTGTTTTAATGTTTGCACAAACTCGATCATGCGCGTCTGAGTTAGCTCGTCCTTTTCTGTCGCTCGTCTTTCTGTCTCGTTTGTTTTGTGTTGTCATGTTCTCGCGTTTCTTTTCACCTGGGCCTATATATCTCGTCATTTGGGGGCTCGACGGTGAAGCTCATCCCCTATCTTCTCACTGACCAAACTTTGGCCCTGTCATTTTGCATGTGTTTTGTTTTTCATCCCAATTATATGTCCATCCTTTGACATGCAACTGAGCGTGTAGTTTGTTTCATCCTAGTTGCAACTCGATCCTTGACTCGCAACTAGGCATAGTTTCGTAATTGCCCAGGAGCAAATCCACCCTTGACTTGTAACTGGAGCATGTGCTTTTATTTTCATCCTAGTTGCAGGTCCACCATTGATATGCAATTGGGCATGTAGTTTGTTTCATCCTAGTTGCAAGTCGACCCTTGAGTCGCAACTGGACTCCTAGTTTCGTAGTTGTCCCAGGTACAAGTCCACACTTGACTCGCAACTGGAGCATGTATTTTTGTTTTTCATCCTAGTTGCATCTCCACAATTAACACGCAACTGGGCCTATATTATCTCTCATCTTAGTTGCAAGTCGACCCTTGATTCTCAACTTAGCACGTAGTTTCGTAGTTTTCTCAGGTGCAAGACCACCACCTACTCGCAACTGGGCTCGTAGTTGTGAGAGTTGCAAGCCCACCATTGACTCGCAACTTAGCACGTAGTTTTATAGTTTTCCTAGGTGCAAGACCACCATCTACCCGCAACTGGCTCGTAGTTGTCAGAGTTGCAAGCCCACCCTCGACTCGCAACTAGAGCATGTGTTTTAGTTTTTCATCCCAGTTGCAGGTCCACCATTGGCACGCAACTGTGATTGTAGTTTTTCTCATGTTAGTTGCAAGTCCACCCTTGACTCGCAACTAGGACCATAGTTTGTTTCATCCCAATTGCAAGTCAACTCTTTGACTTGTAATTGGGCTCGTTGTTTCTTAGTTGTCCCAATTGCAAGTCCACCCTCGACTTGTAACTGGGGCGTAATCTTTTTTGTCGCAGTTGCAAGTCCACCCACGACTCGCAACTAGGGACCGACTTTTTTTTGCTTAGTTGTAAGTCCACCCTTGACTCGCAACCTGGGCCCATCCTTTTCTGTCCTAGTTGCAAGTCATTTTTCGACTCACAACTCGGGCCCGACCTTTTTTGTACTAGTTGCAAGTCCACCCTCGACTCGCAACTGGGGTCAGGTCTTTTTTGTCCCAGTTGCAAGTCCATCCTCAACTCGCAACTGGGGTCCGATCATTTTTTCTTCCAGTTGTAGGTCCATCCTTGACTCGCAACTAGAGTCCGACCTTTTTTTTGTCCCAGTTGCAATCCTAGCCCCGACTCGTAACTAGGACCCAACTTTTTTTATCCCAATTGCAAGTCCACCCTCAACTCACGACTGGGGGTCCGACATTTTTTTGTCTCGGTTCTTATACCAGTTCCAAGTCAACCATCGACATGCAAGCGTGACCTTTGATTTTTTTGTCGTAGTTGCAAGTCAACCATCGACTCACAACTAGGCCAGACCATTTTTTAACCAGTTGCAAGTTCCCCATTGACACACAACACACCCTAGATTATGTTTCTTCCCGAGTTGCAATTCCATCCTTGACTCGCAACAGGCCAAGATTTTTATGACACAATTGCAAGTCCATCATCGACTAACTACTGGGCTCGACATTTTTTTACCCGAGTTGCAAATCCACAACCGACTCACAACTGGGTCGAAACTTTTTTGTCCTAGTTGCAAGTTCACCATTAACATGCAATTTTATTTATTTAATTATTTTTTCTTTTCTGTTATCAGAAAGTCAAATTTTGAAAAATGTCAATGTATTTTTTAAAAATTGTTCGTTTAGAAATTCAGATTTCAATAATTGTTCACGTTTTCTAAATAATGTTCAGAATTAAAACTTTCAAAAAGATTAAAAATAATAATAAATGATTGCGTTTTTTTAAATGGAATCAAAATTGTGTTCAAGATTCAAAATATGTTCGCAAAATGTCCACAACTTCCAAAAAATATTCGTATTTTAAATTTGCTCCCTTTTACAGAAAAATATTCGAAGTTCCCTGCCGTTCGCTCGTATGTGCAAAGCTAGCTCAAACCAAGCACACAAGCAAGCACTTTGATTGATCTACAGTAGCGTGCATGTGTAGCGGCCACGGCCGAACTTTTTTGAGCGCGTGTAGCTATACGTGAATCGTGATAGCTTTCTTGTGTATATATTGTTAAAAAATATGAAAAAAAACAAGTGAAAGGGGCCACAAAACAGATGATGAAATCAACTTAGATGTGAGATAATATCAATATCTCACATCTAGATGTAACATAGTTGGACCCAAAAAAAAATATGCGGTTGGATCTGTTATGTATGGAATTTTTGGAGGAGAGACTTGATTCGGATGAACTACGTTTCAGAATCGGACGGTGGATATCGAATCAAATC